ATGAGGGGGAGGGGGCGTTGTGCGCTGTTACATGGTCCGGAAGGAACCTCGAAGCGTTGTTGTCCTGCCTCACCGGCCCGCAGAAGCTGTCCGTCCGCGGGCCGCAGTCGTTCCGGGTCTTCATGCGCATCGCGGACGTGTTGCAGGGCCGCCCGGACAGTCTGGAGCCGTTGTCGGAGCTGAAGCACGACGCGGTGGATGGGAAGCTGTATGTGGATGTTTTGGCGGAGCGAGAGCGGGAAATGTTTGATCAGGGCATGATATGGATTGCAAATATGTCTGGGTCTGGAAGACTGTAAACTTGTCATGCAGGTTTTCCATGACCCGTGAGGTCTGGAATGCGGAACCTAGCATGACAGACTCTGTGAGGTCTCTGTAATGCCTATCATGCTGCATGAGAAACTCTCTCCCAACTTGGTCGAAAGTGGGCAGCTTTTGGCACTCATGCAACACAGATTTTTGCATGATTCGGATTTTGCATGACAAGCTGCATCCATCCAGACCCACCAGACATATTTACATTTCATACATGATCGAGAAGGAAATGCGGATGCTGGACGATTTATCCACAGTAAATTTCCCGTACACGTACAAATGCAGTCTCTGCATGAGAAAACTTGCCTTCAATCCTAGTCTAGCATGACAAGTTGGACACTGCAAGTTAGCGAAATTTGTCATGTATTTTGTACATGTACGGGAGATTTACATTGCATACGATCAGGAATGGGAGGACCGCGTTTCGCAGCACCAGTCCTTTGCGACCTTTCACGGCCTGTATCAGAGTTGTGCAGAATTCCCCCTCCCACTGATTTGAATGGCATGAGCAGCAACAAGAGCAACGTGACAGGCATGTGGCTTCCGCATGACAAATTTGCACACGGATTGTAGTACTGTTTGACGCTCCAAAATTTGGCATGCAAACTGTGCCTAGAAGTAAAATGTGAGTTTGGTATTTTGCATTACAAATGAGAGGAAGGGGAGTTGTGCAGTGGAATAGCCTGGACGTGATGCTGACGTATTTGGAGACGCAGCTGGGCACCGTATCAAATGTAAAAATGTCTGGGTCTGGAAGATTGCCAGGTTTGTCATGCACATTTTGCATGACTCCTGATGTCTGTGATGCATGCCCTAGCATCACAGATTTTGGGAGGGCTTCCAGATGCCTATACCGCATGAGAAATGCTCTTTCCGTGTAGCAAAACTTGGACTCTCTTCGCTGCTGATGCAATACAGATTTTTTTAGAATCCAAAATCAGCATGACAAGTTGGATTCTTCCAGACCCAGACATTTTTACAATCCATACACCGCGGACGAGGACATTTTGTCGGTGCCGTTAGGAAAATTGGTGAACGACTTCGGTTCGAAACTCGCGACGGAAACGGAGGAACTCGCGACGCAGCGAAAGCAAAAGGAGACGGCGGAGGAGATCCACTTCGAGGTGGAGTACCCCGATCCGGACGACGCGAACTGCAAAAACACGACGGACCACTTCCTGCAGGCGTTCCTCGAGACGGTGTCGACTGATTTCTCCCGGGACGAGTACCTGGTGACGCACCAAACGTATTTCTCCGAGGGTCAGGACCGGTTGGAAACGCTGTTAACGCGATCGCCGGTCTACATATCCTATGTAGAAACGTCCCCACCCCATAGTCAAGATGGAGAATCGGCTAGACAAATCCACAAGTTTTGGCTGTTTTGCATGACAAATTTGGACTCGTAGCGTAGTGCTGTTAGAGCTAGCCCCCGAGCATCACAGATCTAGTATATCATGCTGATTGGAGCATGACAAATCCCAAAACACGACTCGAAAGCGCTTCGCATGGGGCTCCGCATGAGAAACATTCTCAGCATGCCGATTTGCATTACAGCTATGGGGTGGGGACGTTTTTGAATACGATACTACAACGACGTGCCCTACGTGCTGGGCGGCGCCAACGGATCCGGGACCTACCGCCCGGTTCTGACCGCCGACCAGGGCCTGAACACGAACGCCATCGTGTCCGCGTTTCTGCGGTCCGCGTACGTTTTACTCACGGTTCCCTGCGCGCACAACCTGAAGAAAACGGTGATGACTTGGGTCCGGAACAAGGTCACGCTCCAGCGGTTACTATGAACTGCAAAACTATCGTACTCGTACGAATTGCACTTATGCATAACAAGTTTCTTTTTCAAGTAAATCGCTGAGCTACTAACTTGTATTGCAATACTACGAATGCGATACTTTTGCAGTGCATAGTTACTCCGGCTGGTCAACTCGCTGTCCGACTGCACGGAGTTTCACGTGGCGAGCAAGTTCCTGCGGATTCTCAATCTGTCCCACAAGTGCGGGGCGCGGGACTTGGAGCAGTTACGGGAGGTGTTGCCCGCGGAAGTGCCAAAATCGCGGTTGGACGTGTTGTTTCTATCCCGTGCAAAAGCATCGTACTCGTATTGCAATCATGCATTACAAATCTTTTTGCTAAGGTAAATCTGCATGACAAATTTTATTAATATCTCATGCTGAGCCTGAGGAGATTTGTAATGCATTAGCATTTAATATAAGAGTGCGATCCTTTTGCAGTTCATAGCTTCTCTGGCAGGACTATTTGAATAATTTGATGGCCATGTTGGTGCCCAGGTGTAAGAACTACGCGCGCACTATGGGAGTGTCAGGATCGAAACCGTCAGAGTTGAAGAAATAGTTTGTCATGCATAAAATCGATACCAGTTGGAAGCCCACTTATCAAGCGGCGCATGACAAATTTTCGGAGCAAGTCCAATTTGTCATATTATTTGGGCCCAAAAGACTGCTTCTGTCATGCTCCTTTAGCAGCTCTATACCAAACCCTAAATAGGCTCACAATCTGCCTCAATTGCCATCCCGGCAAGACAGGCACTTCATGCCTTGCATATTTATTATGCATGACAAATGATTTCAACTTTGTCGATTTCAAAGCTGACGCTTCCATACGCACGCACGTGAAACTGAACGACCAGCAGGAGGTGCTGTCGCTGGAGATCCTTTTGTCGCTCCACCTTATTTCGCACCTTCTGCCCATGTTTTCCTACGCGAAGTACTACTTGGTCCACCTCCAGTGCCTCAATCTGGTTTTCTACCAGTTTTTCCGCCCGGCGATCGACAACTTCATCGAGTTCTGTCTCTACGACCTGCGACTAGATTCGTTATCGAGCACGCAGTATGGATTGCAAAAATGTCTGGGTCTGGAAGATTCTGAGATTTGTCACGCATGTTTTGCATGACCCAGGATGTCTGTAATGCACGACCTAGCATCACAGATTTTTACCGGGCTTCGTGATGCCTACTCCGCACGACAAGGGCCGTCCCCGCCTAGCACAAACTAGATTCCTCTTGCTGGTCATGCAACACAGATCTTTTTAGAGTCCAGAGTTAGCATCACAAGTTCCAACCTTCCAGACCCAGACACTTTTGCATTTGATACGCAGGCCAGAATTAGCAAGGATTTCGCGTACAGCGGCAACCGACGGGTGGCTTTGCTGGATTTTGGCATGGAAATCCTGGCGAAGTGCATGCAGCACTATCCTGATAAAAAACGTACCCACACCAGGGTCAAGATGGGGAATCTGCTAGACAAATCAACCAGCTTTGGTTGTTCGGCATGACACGTTTGTCCTCGTAGTGTAGTCCTGTTTAGCTAGTTCAGAAGCATAACAGATCTAGCATAGCATGCCGATTCTAGCATCGCAAACTCCAAAACACAAACAGAAAATGCCTCTTTTAGGGATCCGCGTGAGAAACTTTTTTGGCATGCAGAATTGCATGACAGCTATTGGGTGGGGACGTTTTTACACAGGATGAGCACAGCAGCAGCCTCAAGTACGACATTCTGGAGAAGTTCAACAAATCGTCCGAGGTCATGCGCCTGCCCTATCTGAAGCAATTACTACACCTCTACCAGATGTCGCTATACCAGTCCTCGGTGGAGATCCTGCTCAACTACGGCGACGTCAAACTCGCCCTGCAAGCGCCGGCTAAGGAGCGGGTGCTGCATTTGCTCGAGGTCAGGTTTCCGAGCACAAAGTCGAAGTACCACAAGACGACGGCGCTGAACAAACGGGAGCACCTGTTACTCTGTGTCAGCACGAAAAGGATTTTGTTGCTACAGAAAGGTATTAAGTATCAGAATCAGTATGGTATAGTGAAGTGGACTTGAATCATGATTTTGTTAGTAGTAGTATCATGATACTTACTTTGGTGACATCATGGTTTTTCTCATGCTGCGGATGGTACATGATGAGTAGTCCAATTGACGGTCACGTAGGCATCTTCACTTTAAGCTGAGCAATGAAAAGTCCATGTTGAAGATCTTCACGTCAGACTCTTTTTATCGATCCACAGACACCACTCGTGCCTCCTACTGGTTGCACCCGGCTTTAGAAGGGCCCTGCGGCGTTTGCCCCACGCAGGCGTTTTGTCCGAAGCTGCCTTCCGTCCTCTTCTCGCACAATTTTGACAAGCTCTGCCGCGTCGTGGATGGGTGGAGCCAGATGCTCGCGGTCGGCTTCATGTTCGGCGCAGCCGAGAAGACGGAACTGTTACTGCTGAAAACGTCCCCGATGGGCAAGCGCAAGGTGCTGGACCACTTTGAGACCCTAAGCACGTGCGGCATCTCGGCGGACGCCATGTTGCGAATTTCCCCGGACGTCATTTCGGAGTCGGGGTTGATATTCAAGGTCCGTTTTACTAGAGTTTCACTACTGCAAATGGTGCACTTTAGCAGGTGCCAGACGATATCGGAAATGGTTAACTATTCCGGCTGTAGTTCCACCTGCTCCTGAAAAAACTCGACCCAAGATTATGTTTGGGAAAAATAATTGAAAGATCCCGGCAACTGATGCCTTTCTATCTCGTGGTACAAAAATACTTTTAATATAATATATATTGCTCTTTTATCCAGGTCGGAGACACCCAGATCGTTGGCCTGCAGTTTGTGCGCGTGCGACGCGTGAAAAACTTGGAAGTCGTATTCTACGCAAAAACGTCACCACCCCATACTAGTCAAGTTGGTAAATCTGCAAGACAAATGCAGAAGTTTTGGGAGTCGCGCAACACATGTTTCCGTCTGTATTGTAGTGCAGTTTAGCAAGGGCAGGCGCATCACAAACCCATCCCCTCATCCTGTTTACAGCATTAGAAATTCGAGAGCAAGGCTGGAAATGCCTCTCATAGGGCTGCGCATTACAAATGTGTCTGTAATCGAAATACTGTATGAGAATTCTAGGGTGGGGACGTTTTTTCTCAGGATGAGTCGCGCGGTCTGTATCAAATGTAAAAATGTCTGGGTCTGGAAACTTGTGATGCTGTGTGGCGTATCATGAGGAGGCGACACTTGCTGGCTCAGCATGACAAGTTTCTGAGCTTCTAGGTGTTGCCTATTCTGCATGACAAACTACGTTTCTGCATGACAGAAAAGTGGGGCTCTTTGGTAATGTGCATGACAGATGCAAGAGTCATGCAGACAAGCATGACAAACTTGCATTCTTCCAGACCCAGACATTTTTACATTTGATAGTCTGGCCGCTTGGACTACACCATGGAAGAGGCGGCTATGGCGTTCTCAACTGTTACAATCTCAACTGTTACATGAGTTTGTGATGCAAGAATGGGAAAAGTGATCGGAGAGATCTTGCGCGTCTTGCATGACAGATTTGGCGCCGATTATCAGCCTGTTTGGCCCTCTGAGAATTTGTCATGCGAAGCAGCTTGATGGTGTAGATTCTGAAGGCAATTCTGCATGACAAACCATGTAACAGTTGAGAGTGTAACGTTTGAGAGCCCCATAGCGGCCGATCGGTATGGGCGCGAGTGGAGTGAGGCGCTGATCGTGTTAACCGAGGGCGAATTCTTCGAGTTTGTCGTGAATTGGGACTACTGGCTCCCACCCTTCGAGGAGGACGACGACGACGGGGCGGCGCTGCAGGAGGAGATCCGCATGAAGCTCCGCGGGCGGAGCATTCCGAAGATGGCGAACGAGATCATGTTATGAACTGCAAAAGTATCGTACTCGTATANTCTTCCAGACCCAGACATTTTTACATTTGATAGTCTGGCCGCTTGGACTACACCATGGAAGAGGCGGCTATGGCGTTCTCAACTGTTACATTCTCAACTGTTACATGAGTTTGTGATGCAAGAATGGGAAAAGTGATCGGAGAGATCTTGCGCGTCTTGCATGACAGATTTGGCGCCGGTTCATTCGTGTGGATCGTGATCACCGGTTCATTTGTGTGGCGGGATGAGGGGGCAACGTCTTTCTTGTTCATGTTTCAGGATCATGACGAGAAGAACGACTTTTGTCGCCACGGCAGGCGACAAGTAGATATTGAATTACTACAAAAGCGACCGAGCGCAATAAAATCCTGTTCCGCGAGAACCACCGGAGCGGCGTGGGCGCTTTTTGGTTTACCCATCGTAGTCTTAGTGCCGCGTTTTGGTGCTGCCTTTCTCTCGCTCGCCGGTTTCTTGATTCCTAGAACGCTGAAACCGGGGGCGTGTACTGGGTGGGTTGCCATCCCCAGTGCACGAGCGTGCCTTGCAGTTGCCCCGAGCGACCCCGCGGGGGTTGAGGCGCCTTGTCTCAAAAAAGAACTCTAGCCCCGGGCGGAGTACGAATCCGGGCAGGTTGCGTACCTGCGCAGGGCAAGTTTTTCAACACGTTTCGCGCCCAGGTGTGCGCCAAACGCTTTTGTAGGCGGGGCTGGAGTTCTGGTTCTCCAGCCCCGTAGGGTAGCGACAGGTAGCGCGGTGAAGCGACACTTCCCCAGGCTGCCAGTAGGAAAGACTCAGTCGACGCACTCGGCGATTGGGAAATGTTGCGGCGACTGGGAAGATACCAAATCACCTCGTGCGCGCTAAGTCGCAAGCACGATCGTAGAGACTCACGCGAGGGTCGTGAGTTCGTTCGTTCCAGTTCGCACCTGGGACAGCTTCAGAAGGTGCTACCGCGCGACCAAGAGTTGGTCGCTTCGCTGTTGACGCGAAGATACGTCTCCGTTCGCGTGAAAAGGTTCGCGCTTTGGGATTCTTCGTTCGTAGCGCGACCGCAGGATCTGAGTGCCCGACCCGCTTTGTGGTCGGTGTCCACGTGCTTACTGAGTTTAGACAGATGCACGAACTTAGCCTATCGATCGAACTTTTAAAATTAAGTAGATATTGAATTACTACAAAAACGACCGAGCGCAATAAAATCCTGTTCCGCGAGAACCACCGGAGGAGCGTGGGCGCTTGTGATGAAAAAATCAAAAGTCACACACCTTCTACATCGGCAGCAGCAAATATGTCTGGGTCTGGAAGGATGCAAGGTTTGTCATGCTCGTCTGGCATGACTGAAGAGCTTGTGATGCGCGTTCAAGAAGAGACCCTTTTGCTTGTCATGCAAAAACGCAGTCTGTCGTGCGGAAACCGCAACACTTAGTCACGAAAATATTTCTTATGCTTGGCTGTGCATTACAGAGCATTCTCTATTTCCAACTCAGCATTACAAGTCTCCAGACCCAGACACATTTGCATTTGATACAGCAGCCTCAAGTACGACATTCTAGAGAAGTTCAACAAGTCGTCCGAGGTGATGCGGCTGCCCTATCGTGTGGTGGATCGTGATCACCGGTTCATTCGTGTGGCGCGAGGAGGGGACAACAACTTTCTTGTTCATGGTTCAGGATCATGACGAGAAGAACGACTTCTGTCGCCACGGCAGGCGACAAGTAGATATTGAACTACAACAAAAACGACCGAGCTCAATAAAATCCTGTTCCGCAAGAACCACCGGAGCGGCGTGGGGCGGCGTGGGCCGCCGTTCGAGGAGGACGACGACGACGGGGCGGCGCTGCAGTATGAGAGTGCACAACTCCCCCTCCCCCTCATTTGTAAAGCATGAACGGCAATACAAACACCAGCACACAAGGAGCCTATGCATGACAAGTTCGTGCGCCCACTGGCACTGTAGTGCTGTTTCTGTTTGCTGGGCTTCCGGAATCTGTCATGCAAACAGTGCCACAGGGAAGCACGTGGATTTGGGGTTTTCCATGACAAATGAGGGGGGAGGGGGGGTTGTGCACTGTCATATGCAGGAGGAGATCCGCATGAAGCTCCGCGGGCGGAGCATTCCGAAGATGGCGAACGAGATCATGTTATGAACTGCAAAAGTATCGTACTCGTATAAATGCATTACAAATTTTCTCAGCATCAGAAATAAAATTTGCCATGCTGATTTACCTTAAGAAAAATATTTGTAATGCAAGACCTGCATTTATACGAATGCGATACTTTTGCACAGGATACATGTCCTTGTCCGCCAAGACATCCGCCCTGGATCTGCAGCTGACCGACTACTATCCTGTGCAAAAGTATCGTACTCGTATGAATGGCAGTCTTGCATGACAGATCTACCATTTTACCTCAATCAGCATTACAAATTCCATTTTTCCTTTTGCAAAAGTTTGTCATGCGATTTATACTAATCCGATACTTTTGCAATGCATAACTACCAGCTGAAAAAGCACGCGGACCGGTCGCGGATCCGCGAGCGCACGGAGTACGACCAGTTCATGAACCAAGCCGCGAAAAACCAACATATGCTGTGCAAAAGTACTATCGTACTCGTACTAATTGCAAATATGCATGACAGATCTTCCTCCAAAGGTAAAACAGCATTACAAATTCCACTTTTCTACTTCTTGCGAAAATTTGTAATGCAATTTAAACTAGTACGTTACTTTTGCAATGCATACAGCACACCGTGGAGCAAAAAACGAGGGAGATGCAGGTGTCCCGCTCGAGTGCGCGCCAGCACTTCATGTTCGACCGCGTCACCAAGCTATCCTCCGAGACGCCCAGCGTGGCGGCTTCCGGCGGGTGCTTTGTCAAGGAAGAGGACGTGACCATGCGGGAAAAGAAGAAAAAAGCGGTGCTGCGCTGCCACGACCTGCTGCTACAAAACCAGTTTCACGCCTCGCTGTCAACGCTGATGGGTGTGTATCAAATGCAAAAATGTCTGGGTCTGGAAGAATGCAGCTTGTCATGCTAAATCTGAAGCATGCAAAAATCTGTGTTGCATGATTACCAAAAGTCGTCCAGATATTGAATTACTACAAAAGCGACCGAGCTCAATAAAATCCTGTTCCGCAAGAACCACCGGAGCGGCGTGGGCGCTTGTGATGAAAAAATCAAAAGTCACACACCTTCTACATCGGCAGCAGCAAGAACAGAAGAGGAAACTACTCTTCACAAAGACGAGAACGAAGACCACGATGAAAGCAAAGAAGTGCGACACGTGTTCTGGAAATAACGATGGTGACGAAAATGGACACCTCAAGCACAAGCTGCTGACCGGGGACGAAGAGGACAACATATCGAATAACAATGGCTTACTATCCTCCAGCGCGCAAATATGGAAGCGTCAGAATCGAAATTCGCAAAATCGAAAAACTTGTGATGTATAAAAATCTATACCAGTTGGAGCCTCAGTTTCTAAGTGGCGCATGACAAATTTTGGGAGCAACAAAATTCAGTCTGTCATGCTGTTTGAGCAAAAAGACTGCTCCTGTCATGCTACTCTAGCAGCATATCGTCTTCCCCTAAACAGGCTTGTAATCGGTCTTATTTGCCTGCTCCCCAACACAGGTAATGCGTGCCCTACATTTTATGCATTACAAATTTTTCGATTTTGTCGATTTCGATCCTGACATTCCCATACGTTTCGGGGAAGAAATACGCCCCGGTCAGCACGTCGCACTTGCGGATGCCGGAGCACGGGTATCAAATGTAAAAGTGTCTGGGTCTGGAAACTTGTGATGCTGGGTAGCGTCTCATGATGAGGCCAAAAATGCTGGCCCAGCATGACAAGTTTCTGAGCTTCTAGGTGTTGCCTATTCTGCATGACAAACTGCGTTTCTGCATCACAGAAAAACAGAGCTCCTGGGTAACGTGCATGACAGATTTAAGAGTCATGCCAGACAAGCATGACAAACATCAATTCTTCCAGACCCAGACATTTTTACAGTTGATAAGAAGTTGTCTGGGACTTTTGTGGGATGAAACTGAAGGAAGAAAACATATCCTGTGCAAAAGTATCGTACTCGTAGTAATT